ATACAACATAGTAAACCGAATGACAGGCATTAAATGAGACGTGGTTGACTCTTAAATGATGATTATCGTCCATCAAATGCTGATTGACGGGCCCTTAACGAGGACATGCTGCTCTAGGGGCCTACGGGCCGTAGGCTTGCAAAGTTGATGGATAAATCCTATCTGCTATCATTATATTGCAAGTAACATTATTTTATTATTATTTCACGCGAGTTGCACTCCGTTGAGTTTTGATTCCTGAGATCTTTGAGATCGGACTTCCGACATAACTTCATCAATTTGGGCTTCTTTCATTTTGTCTTGAGCTCAAACTCTCTTCTTAACTACGTGATCGAACTTTCTTCCAAACTTCGAGCCCGGATTCTGCACTTGCACGTTGTCCCTCTGTCCGCAAGTTTTCAAGTTCGGATCGCCTATTGCTGTGGGATGAGGCTGGACTGGGCGTCACCCAATGAGGCCTGTCAGGGAGCCTTGCCTTCTGGATTTACTTGTTTGCTAAACTGTTATGCTGGAAGGTTTAGATCCTAGAATCCATACTTACTAACTTGTATGTTAACATACAAGCCCCTGAACTCAGATGAAAGGTGTTCAAACGTTTGAAAAGGTCGTACGATAATTCACAGACTTACACGACTCATGTCACTAATCCACACAAGTCGTGTGAAAAAGCCGTAAGTCAATTCATATTTTTTTTATCTGCTACACGACTCGTGTGGCTTATGGACCACATCACACGAGTCATGTGGTGTCTGGTGCACCTCATTTCACTGTTTTTCGTCTCGACTTTATTTTAATGTTCTTTTAACATATCTCCGACAAAAACTAATCTATACTATTATAAAAGTGTCAATGAATCTGTAAAAATATATAATGCTTAAAATATCCTTACTTTATCATCTTTGTAATGGCAAATTTGTAATTTAATACCAATATTGTAACAATCGTGCTCCTTAGTCCATACTAATGTATAACCGAGACAGATAAATAGCAGCAGCTATTAAACGGGCCGCCCATCTTTGGGGTTCAGTCATCAATATCTTTATGGATATTATTGGTTATTTAAAAAAAAAAAATATATTTGACGGACACATTGAAGAAATCAATTAAATGAGAATGTTTAATAAGATATTTATTGTTGTTCTTATCCATTGTATATTTATAGTATGATTTAAAAATAATCTTCTTTATTTCTTAATTTTTATTTACATTAAAAATTTTGTATATTATTCTTAATTGTTTTTATTGAATAAATATTTATAATGGTTTTTTTTTTTCTTTACCTTTTTCATTTTTGAATTGGATATATCGGTATATGATTTTTAAAATACCTGTTAATTATTTTATGTGTTATCAAGTTAAGTTGCTATAAAATGGGTTTGTATGTTCTTATAACGGCCACAAAGTATCGAAACATTATTTTTTAAAATAAATAAATTTTGTAATAGTACGAGAGAGTAACTGTTGAATTATTGTTTTACAACCTAAAATTACAATCTTCTTATTTCTTTGCTTAAAATAATATTAGAACAATTTTATAAAATTGTATAATACTAAAGCTCAATCCATTTGTTTTCAAGTCGAGTGGGATGTAATTTGAGCAACATGATTTAATTTTGATCATATGATATTTTATAAGTTAATTAAAAATATCTCGAGAATCATGATATATCTATATACATTGAAAGTTAATTAATCTTTACCAAGAAATTATATCGATGTATTATCATTATACATCTTTCTATTAATCTTGTATTCTTATAAGAAAATAGTGTTTTTCTTAAAAAATTAATGTACGAAAAAAATTATATATTTGAGTATAATATTAATGAGTAAATTGTAATTATATATATTATAATAAAGATACACCATTAATTGATATATAATAAGATATATGAACCAAAAATCTCTATACTTAAGTTTAAGCATTTTTTAGAAATCTAAAGTTAATATAATTAAGTTGTAACACTTACTTATAAATAACTATAAAGTAAAAAATATAATAAATATAATAAATAATATTAAAAATATAATTAAGTCGTAGCACTTACTTATAAATAGGAAAAAAAGGTAATAAATAGAAAGTTATAATTAATAAAATTAAATAGAAAACTTTTAAAACTTATGTTTATTGATGTAAACGAGTCAAATTGTACACCGCTTTTTAATTTTTTGTGCTTATTAGTTCTATATGTAACTTTTAGGTGATAGACAATAGCTATTTGTATTATTATCAATGTTGATTATAACTTTTATTTAAAAGAAAAAAAAAAACTAGATTATTCTAATATATAGTAAGCAAAATGTCCTATCCTTTCGAAAAAAAAACCTAAGCAAAATTTTATTCGTCATTAGTTTTTTAATATAATATACAAATATCATATTATATATATAATATAATAATTTTTTAATTATTTAATATTTAATATGTGATAACTCATTTGATAAATTAAAAAGTAATCTTGAGATAAAAGAATGAGTGATTTGCAAAAAGAAATATATATGGAGAAAAAAAAGGTCATGTGTTTAATATTCAACAAAAAATTTGTAAACGTAATTAATTAATAAAAAAATTCTACATGAATATTTTAATGTTTACGAAAAAATACAAAAAATAAATGTAATATCGCAATGAAAATCCAACGGTAAGGTATCCCACTGAAATTTTCAATTGATATTTCATTGGTATATCTTTCATTGAAAAAAATTATTAGCTATTCCAACAGATATCAATTTTAATTACATTGGAATTTTAGTGGATATAATTATTCCAATTACCATTATTTATTGTTGTTTGAATTTTCGTTGGGATTTTTTTTCAGCCTTATTCAACTGTTGGAAAAACTGTAAATTGAATTACAAAAAGTTTAATCATTGGAAAACTAATTGCATTGGCGGATCCAAAATAATTTCATATTGGGAGCACTATTCAGTTAATAGAAAAAATATAACATCAAAATAACATAATGTCATTACAGTTTATAAATTATAATTTTCATAATTTATCACCTTTCTCATTTGTAATACTTTTTAACACATCAATATAGTTCCAATAAGTTAAAAAATATTTAAGAGAGAAAACATAGTTTTCTAAATGCAACGTAAGAATCATTGAAAATATATATTTTTTAAATTTTATGAATTATTTTTATTTTGTAGTATAGCTGACTCGACAAAATAATTGACTGAGATTATAAATTATAAATATTGAGTATAATATTAATGAACAAAATGGTAATCATATATAATAATATAAAGATATACAATTAATTGATTCATAATAAGACATATAACCAAAAAAAGTTATATATTTAATTTTATACATTTTTACATATCTAAAAGTTTTATACTCTCTCTCTCTCTCACTCTCACTCTCTCTCACACACGCACACACTCGCGCGCACACACACATATGTGTATATAAATAATAAAAACCTATGAAACAAATATAAAGTGAAAAAAATATTAAATATGATAAGTAATGTTAAAAGTATTAAGTCGTAACACTTACTAATAAATATGGAAAATGTAATAAATAATAAAAGTAAATATAAACTTTTAAAACTTGTACTTAAACGAGTTGAGTTGTTAAATGCTTGTTAATTATATGAATAAGTTTTAGGTGAAAGACAATAGTTTTTTGTATTTTTATCCCTGTAGGTTAGAACTTAAAAAAAAAAAATGATTATTCTAATTTTTAACCTTTATTTGCTATTAGTATTTTAGATATAATATTATGTATAATAATAATTATTTTCGTTATTTAATAAGTCATAAATGTAATTCAATTGAGAAACTCATGGGTAATCTTGAGATAAAATAATGAATGGTTTCTAAAAAAAATATGGACTAAAAACTTTATGTGCTTAATATATTATTAATAGAAAAATCATAAACATAGTTAATTATTAATAAAAAATAGTGCATAAGAAACTTAACTGTTTAGAATGAAAATAAAAAATTGCTATATTGCAATGAAAAATTCGACGATTGACATTCTACTGAAAATTTCAATAGCTATTTCATTGTATAGCTTTTATTGAAAATTTTCATTGGTTATTCCAATAAAGCTCAAATAAATTACATTGATATTTAGTAGATTTAATGATTTCAATTATCATTATTTAATTGAATTTCCTTTGAATTTCTTTTTTCGGTCCATATTTCAACCGTTGGCAACGCTGTCATTGGAATTGTAAAAAAACCAGTGTAAGTTACATTGAAAACTAATTGTAGTGGTAGATCAAAAATTATATCGGGAACATCTTTAGTTAATAGAAAAAGTATACCATCAAACTAACGAAATCTCGTCAATTTATATATATATATATTTTTTTTTCATAATTTGACATATTTTTCATTTATAATAAATTTTTAAGTTCTAATACAACAATACAGTCACAATAAGTTAAAAAATATTTAAGATAAAGAGAATTGTTTTTTTTCAATTCAACATATGAAAATCGTTGAAATTATTTATTTTTCAAATTTTTTATGAACAAGAAATTTATATTATAGTATAGTTCACTAAACAACATAATTGGTGAATTATCAACATATATTCCACATACATTAGTTAAAAAATATATATAAAAAGTATATTTTAATGTTAGAGAAAACAATATGTTTCAAAAAAAAAAAGAGAATAAAATAGAAAATATCATCAAGATATAAGAAATATATTTAGATGTAAAATTATAATTTTAAGATTTGATCATATTTTCTTTAGTTGTGATACCATGTTTGTGTTATAACTTTAATAAAGTTAAGAGCTAAATTAAAATATAATTGATTGAGTTGTAAAAAAATTCACTATGTAATTTTTAATTTATTTGTTTTCTTCAAAATAAGGGACATGATTAAAATTATGAAAAATGTTCTCACAATTTTTATAGATCCTTATCCTATATATTTTGGGATGGACGCATGTGTCAAGCCTATTACAGAGTAACTTATAAAATAAATTTTAAATTCATGTTGGATCAATTTTATTAAGTATAAAAAAGACATACAATAAACTTGTGTTATATTTTTCTTACATAGATTTGAAATATTCATACAAATAAGAAAAAAAATTACAAAATAGATGTAAACATACATCCATTACCAACATTAACTATGTGAATTAAAAGGATAAACGAATGAATTGTATTTATAACAATTATTCAAGTACTGCATAAAAGGGAAAGGGAACACAATAATTGTAAATATGAAAATGAGTTAGTTATTTGATATTTTATCAAACAATGAAAAAAAACCCTAAAATTTTTAAATTTATAACCAGTATAAAAGTACATATTTATCAAATATAATATTGTTATTATAACTAAATAAATAAGTAATATTAAATAGTATTTATTGTATTATATTAGTTGCAGCCTAATAATTAAGATATTTTGATAACGTCGTTATATTAAATACGTACTAAAAATTACGCGATACATATAATTGTGCTCTAATTTTTTTAGCAAATAAATATTATTTGTGACTAGAATAAAAAATAAATAAAACAATAATAATGCAATGCATAAAGAAGACGTCTAAATTTTTTAGAGAAATATGAATACCAAATCTAAAAACAAAAGTTTTCTAAAATTACAACATTTTTTTGCTATCGTTTAAATATATGGAATTTGTAAGAAATTGGTTTTCATAAATAATGACCCTATATTATCAAATTTAAAATATTAAAGAAATAAAACTTTGTAATAGATAATTTAGGTTTAATAATAACTTCGTGATAATAAAGTTCGCAGACGACTTAGAGCATCATAATATAATAGAATTCTAATTTTTATTCTCTCAATTATTTTAACAAATAATATGTTTTTTAATATTGTCTAATTGTTTTGTTTTGTTTTGTTTTGTTTGTCATTGTCGAAGAATCAAGAAGAGTTCTTTATCTTGAATTTTTGAAGCATTACGTATGATGCAAAAAAAATTAGACAATAAAAGCATTAAAGAAGTTATTAGGCACATAAGTTTGCAAATCCGAATTAATGTGAAAAATATTATGATAAACAATTCAAAAATAATTGTAACAACCAAGATGATCAATGATTTGCAAACAATAGATTATATAGTTCGTCATCTTGACATTGAAAAAAAAATTTCAGGCTCAATACATTCTTTAATGTTTGAATGAAATTGTCACTTTTTGATTGGAATATTACAATCTCACTGTGGTTGAACATATGTGCAATTACATTAGTGTACATACTTTCATGTAATATGATGATTTCAGAAAGTAATTTAACACCTCGGGAGAAGTACATATAACTAAGAATTTGGTAAGTCAATTTTTATTTGGAGATGTATTTTTTTCCTACACCGTGGGGCGATGCCTTCATGAGATAGGTAACAATTTGTCTATATGTGGAGAGAGAGAGAGTAATAAAGTAGTTTATACAATGATAAAAAAATACTAACAATTGTAATGACACCTTGGTTATTTTACAGAGATATTCATGAACTGTTAGTATTAATACATTATTAAGACCACACAATCATGAAATGTGACTATATGTTTAGCTAGAATATTTATAAGTGTTTGAATAATGTAGACATTTTGCCGAATGAATTAAGAAGAATTTTGCAATACTATTAATGTATTGAGCTTCAACTGGTATGAATGCTTCTTACGAAAACGTCAACATCAAAATGAAAAAAAATTACTCTTGAATCGTCTAATATAATTAAATAAAAGAACTAATGTATCTATATAGTAATGCTAAGGAGTCAACTGTTGGATCCGTTACGGAGCCAACAACCAATTATACAGCTCCATGTGGGGATGTCCCACATGACTCTAATGTGGGCCAACCCCACATAGAGCTGTCCCATTGGCTGTTGGCTCCGTTAGGGAGCCAACAGTTGGCTCCCTAGCATTACTATGTATCTATATTATACATTAGGTCTTTATTTAGTTACTTGGTGTTTTATTCCCATGGACTATATTTTCTTGGAGTTGTAATATGTTCTTTCAATTTTTTTTTATTAGGACATAATTATGTTATTTTAAAAAAATAAGAAGCTTATTTGTTATACATTTTATTTCATTTTTGCAATGATTTGTTTAATAAATTAACTAATTTATTTTACTAAACTTAATGGTCAAAAAACATTCATCACCACGTGCATCGCACGTCCAGTTTACTAGTGACAATAAATACTCTTATCATAAATTAAGAAATAGAAAAAAAGGTGCACAATCGATCACTCACATAAATTTTGACTAACAATTACATCCATAAAAAAAAAAAAAAAAATATGGCAACACTTTTCCAGAGTGAAATGGTTTTGACCTTTGAGCTATAGAAGGCAAATTGACATACATTAACATATTTACGTCATTGCTTCTGGACTATTATATGTCATGTTGAACTCGCCCACACCAAATGTGTTGACGTAATTGTCGGTTATCAGCTTAATCTTCTTGTATTATGCAGCGCACTGCCATTACCGTATCTCCTCTAAAAAGAGTGGAGCCAAGAAACCAATTTTTGATATAACACACAAAAAAGAATCTAACTTTAAAAAACAATAAAACATCACCCATTTTGGATAAAGATCGAAATCTGGGCTTCGTTTCAAGAGTGAGAAAGATAAAATTTCAAAATCTGAAAAAAAAAAAAAAACCGAAAAAAATGGTGAAGAAAATGGTTTACAATTGGAAATCTTGGTGGAGGTCTGCTCAGAAGAACAACTACTTAGTTCTTAAGTTGGGGGTCTCAGTTCTCTTAGTAGCCCTTGCTTTCAGGCTTCTCTACAGTGACAGATCCTCCGATATTTCTCCAATTTCGAAGGCCCCTTTCCTCGACACAACTCAGATTTCAACGTCCCCAGTTGTTTCTGGCGAGACTCAAGAAATTACAGATCGCAACACGATTCAAGGTCAGATCTTATTCTTATTTATTGAATCTCATTTGGGATCTTAATAAGGCAACAGATATTAGTAAACCTGAGATATTGTGTTGAAAATATAGCAAAAAAATCTAGCAAGATTGGGGGTGGTAAGTTGCTGAATTAATTGACAAGGGCTGGTTTAAATAAGCTTATCATGTATCTCTGCAAGTGTTTGTCTACTTAAACATGTTCTTGCAGAGTATGACATGGAGTCCCTGCTGGACAGTGAAGGAAAATGTAATCTTTTTATTGGGGATTGGGTTCCTTATAAAGGAGAGCCCTTGTACACGAATAGCAGCTGCAGCTTAATTGAAGACCACCAGAATTGTATGAGAAATGGCCGACCGGACAAAGATTATCTTTACTGGAGGTGGAAGCCCCGTGGATGCGAGTTGGCAAGAGTCGATCCGAGGAAGTTTCTAGAGCTGATGAGGAATAAAGGTTGGGCATTCATTGGGGACTCCATTTCACGGAACCATGTCCAGTCGTTTCTTTGTGTTCTCTCTACTGTAAGCTACTGCTATTTTGATTATTTGCTGACGACGAAATATCTTATCACAGCGAGTGAAGAATTTCAAGATTTAACTGGAAAAATATTGCTTGATAACTGCATTGCATAGTACCTTCGTGGTTGACTTCTTTCGACTTTGAGCATTTTTATTTTTGGGTGTCCTCTTAATCTAAAATGGGAGCTATTGTTTCTTATATTTGACAGACCCTGTTGGTAAAGTAATGAATGGATTCCAATACATTAAAGATTGTTGTTTGGACCCCTGCATGAGTCGAGAAGATAATCAAGATTGCTCACGATGCAGGAAATTATGGTCACTTGAATCAGTTTGCATTTTTGTGATCAATATTGAAAGATTTAGCTTATTCATTGTTGACTTTTATCTTGTTTCCTTTTGACTTTCATATTATGCTTTTTGATTAGAGTTAGTTATAGAATTTGTTAGTGTTTGCTTCTTGAAGGTAGGTTTTTTTTCACCTTTATTGTTAAACTGAAGTTTAGTTTGAAGCTACCCTTGAAGTTATTCAAATTACCAAAAAGAATGGCTATGTTTTAGATTTACAGTTACTTCCATGAGGTTTTTCATGTTTCTATTCTTGACCCTCATCACATGTAAACATTGAATGATGATCACAAGCAACATTATTTTTCACAACGCAAGCTTTAAAAAATAAAAAATCCACGTTCATTTACACCCCTCCAGGTCGAGAATCCCACCGAAGTGTACCACGATGAGAACTACAAGTCCCGAAGATGGGTCTTCCCTTCCCACAACCTTACAGTCTCGGTCCTGTGGTCCCCATTCCTCGCCAAGGCCGCCATTTTTGAGGACATAAACGGCGTCTCGACATCCGAGATCGAGCTTCACCTCGACACTCTGGACGAAAGCTGGACCCAACAATACCCCACATTCGACTACATCATATTCTCGGGAGGCAAGTGGTTCACCAAGGGCACGATCTACTACGAGAACAACCTCGTGCTCGGCTGCCACCACTGCCCCAAACGGAACCTCACTGAGCTTGGCTTCAACTTCGCCTACCGAAAGGTCATCCGCAATGTGTTTGACCACATCATCCGGTCAAATCACAAGGGTGCTGCGGTGTTTTATAGAACCTCGACCCCGGACCACTTTGAAGGCGGAGAGTGGTTTAGTGGCGGGGCCTGCAAGAGGGTGTCGCCGGCCAGGAAGGGTGAGTTTGAGTTGAAGGAGCTTAATAGGATCTTACGGGACGTGGAGCTTGAGGAATTCGGGAAGGCACGTGTTAGGGCAAAGGAGGAGGGTGTGAGTTTGCGGCTGCTGGATGTGGGCCCGCTGTCGTTGCTGAGGCCCGACGGGCATCCGGGCCCTTATAGATTTTTCCAGCCGTTTGCGCGGGGTCGGGAGGAGAAGGTGATTAACGACTGCCTGCACTGGTGTCTGCCGGGGCCGATAGATACGTGGAATGATATGTTGATGGAAATGGTTGTGAATGGCTGAGGATACCTGTGTGGCCCATTTGTTGATTTGAAGGCTCTCAGACATGTTAGGGTGGGAGGGCATTTCTTGAGCAGATGGAAGGTGGAGGAAAGATTTATTCTCTTCATAAAAATCCCATTTTGTTCCATATGACTAAAAACAAGCATCTAGACTCGTAAAATTCCATATGAATTTTACTCTCCAACTTAAATTGGCTTTTCGCAACATCAGATTGTTTTAAAGCCATAATTCAATAACCAGACAGTGATATTCTGAAACTATTGTATTTGTCTAGATGCTTGTTTTTAGTCATATAAGTTTTTTGTTAATTTACAAACTCTTTTGTAAGAATCAACTGAGTAACCTGTAGGTGGCAACATGTATAAAGTTTCATCAAAATCACCATAAATGAATGCATTATTAACACCGAGTTGATGAATATGCCAATGTTTTGCAGACGCAATAGCAATTAATACTCTAACAATATTTATTTTAGCTACTGGTGAAAATGTGTCAAAATAGTCAATGGTTGTTCTAGTGTGTAACCTTTTACTACCGATTTTGATTTGTATCTTTCTATTGATCCATCAGATTTATACTTTATTACTAGTATTAATACCCATGTACAACATGAGTGTTGAGTTAATGAATATATGTGTAAAATTATTTATGTCTATATCAAACCTAACTTCAGAGCAAAAATAATATAAAAACAACATCACGAAGCATAGATTTTCGCCATGTCAATATCCGAAGCGTGAGAATCTGCCACTTAGGCTCAACACGTTTTGAATTAATATATAGGGAGGGATGTATACACATTTGTAACCTATGCAATGTTGATTATGTTGAAATTGAGTTAAAATCCATGTATTACTCTGTTCTTTTTACATAGCCTCTTTACATAGTGGATTTGTTATAGCATGTTAATATGTTTTAGGTTCAATGTGTTGTGTAATGGATAATGTGAAGTAATGATGGGAATCAAATAATGATGATGCAGACAGATATTGGATATAATGTCCCATAACTGTGATTATGTGTTGCAAGGTTGAAAGAATGTGGCAAGGAATGATTATAGATGCTAAGATGTGAAGGTGGATGTTTGGTCCTATTGGGGATGTGTGGATGTTGCTGTTGGAGGCTGAATTATTGGGCCTGTATCGATTTGTGTTGGTTAATGTATAGTGGCTAGTGATAAATTGTGTTATTGTGCCTCAATCTTGATGATATTCTAGAAATGAGCTCAGAAAGTTATTATGTTAAACTCTACAAGTAGATTAATTTTCGGCTTAATATTATGATTGAGTAATACTAGTTTCGCAATAAAAAGTTATGTAATTAAATAAATTTACGGATATTGTATCTTAAGCATGGAGCGATAAACCGAGTAGATAAATATGGAGCTCAATGTAATTTGGTGATCAATAAAAAGTTTAATAATATTTCTCTAGGAATGAAATATTATTCATATGCATTAGGGGTAGGTGGACTAGAACCTAAGAGCACCTACTTTTATGAGGAGCCCTTATTTTAACACCGCCTTAAGATTCCTCTTGTAGCCTAAAAATACACCACTCCCCTCATTGATTTGGCCGCCCCTTTTGGAAACACACGCCCCAGTTGAGCTCTGAGAGAGAGAAACGTCAGCCTAAGGAAAATGAGAAAAAAAAAAGTGTCAAAAAAACACAAGATCTTCTTCCTTCTTTTTGCGAAGCAAATCGTGTGAGTATTGGGAAAAAAGATTCTAAAACGTGTGAGTATTGAGAGGAAGATTCTAAAGCTCGTCGTCTATCAAGAGTGGGTGTTGAGAATACAATAGAAGATCCTGTGGTAAAGAAACTAATTTGTTCAGTCCCATAGACTGTGAATCGTCTCAAAGACAACGATAAATTTAAAATCGTAAGAACCCAACAATTGCAATCAGAGTTTGTATAAAGTTCGAAATTTTGATTAACTTATGTAGATAATGTGTGCACGAACACAACCATAGTAGATTCAAATTGTATAACTTGATTTAGCAAGATTATTTGAACCGGCTATTATGCCGCTTGCTTTTTTAACCTCATGCACGTTTTTCAAAGTCTCGGACATGTCAAGAAATTTTTTGGTTGGTGAATGCTTGTAATAGATTAAATAATGTTTGGTTATTTTACTGATTTATTGTTTTTGTATAACAAACATGTAAACCACTACGTCGGTCGTAGAATCTAATATTTTGATTTTAATTTTGTTTTACGAAGACGGCGATGCAGATCACCGGTTAACGAACGATCATGATCGGACCACCTCAGCCAAGTCGACCATCACAACTTTGACTCTCACTAAGGTGGCAATGATTACCATGTTTGGTAAAGGTTTGACGGCATTTTCCAAATGAATATGTGATGAGAGTGACAAATCTTCAATGCATCCAACTGTCTTCACATAAAATCAACAGTCAAAACAAATTAGGAATTATAATGCCATTGTAAAAATGATGAGGTGAGATAAACTAGTTAACTATTGCATTGCTTTTCTAAATCATTTTCTCCGCAATTGATGTCAGGTATTCCAAGTCAACCAAATATAATTCAAGAAATCAATTTTAACGGAAATACTACAGTTACGGAACCATTTGGTCGAGATTTGTAACCGTTAGATCAATCATGTAACCATTGTGGATATCTACATTATCCATAATAAATATAAATATATACATATTATATACATTCTAAACCACCAGTTCACTTATTTTGATCACAATTGAGAGAGAGAGAACAAAAATGGCGAACACGTTGGAAAGACAATCATCGGAGCATACGAAGTACCAGGCAATATGGGACTGTGGCAGCTCACTGTACGACTCGTTCGAGCTGAGATCAGTCGAGAGGCTGCTCGACTCGGCCATAGCTTCAAAATCCCTTTGGATGCCGCATGTGTCCGGTGGCTGCCGCCACTCTCCGCAGCCGTCGAAGCTACCAGGGTCATCTTTCCGGTGGATCATCCGAGCGTTTTTTAAATTCAGGTGGTGTGGAGCCTCGCAAAGAAGCGTAATGGGCGGTGATGCGATTTTAGGATTACAACGGTATTGGGACAGGTCTCCGGCGCTTTCTCCGATTCCAAAAGTTCAAAACTTTCGCCTGAAATGAGATCACGCTCGTCGGAACGGCTTACAGCGGCCAAAGATTAATCTTGTTTGCCAGGCATGTAAAATTGGGGTTTTTTTTTTCCCTTTTAACGAAATATTTGGGTGGTTACTAGCTACTTGAATGTGTATTTTTATTTCTGTTTGTGAAGTGATTTATATATCTAATAATTCGTATATACAAAAATTATCATGTTATTTAGCCTCATTTGTACATGAACGATGACATGATATTGCCAAATTGTGTAATATAAGTTTTTTTCCAACCTTTCTTCTTTTTTCTCTTCTTTTCACCTTGTTTGGATGTTGACAAGGGGTTAGAGATGTAAAGTGTAATGGCGGGGCGAGTTTTGGAAATTTTGAACTTAGACCCACATATAATTTACCCACCCTGCACAAACCCGATTCGTTACTCGGTTAGTAAACTTTGAGTTGGGGTTAGATTTTACCTAATAAGTTATCGGGATTTCGACAGGTAAACGGGTAACCCAAATTCTTAAATTTGGGTTTTACCCGATCCCAAAGAGACCTGGGCTGCTGCATGTGTAAAAAAAATAATAATAATAATTCAACAATCAAATATAATGTAACTAACAATTTATCAACTAAGTTTGACAATAAAATGACTATAAAAAATTTTATATTATTTTTACAATAATTGTTGAGATATAATTATTATTTTTTATAGTCTAGTTAATAATCTAACATTTAAAAACTAAGTATTTAAATTTTTTATTGTACAACTAAAAGAAAAATTGATTAAAAAAAATAAGAAAAATAAAATAAAATTTAAATAATTAACCAAAACTAAAATAAATAACTTAATTTTATATTTATAATAAGATACATATGTGTGTGTGTGTAAGACTCAAAGCTTGCTGTTAAGTGGGTATGATAAACAGGTCCGGCAACGGGTTTTTTCTATCATACCCAAACCCAACTCGATCTGGGGTACGAGTAGCATAAATTATACTCGAACCAACCTGAAACCTGATCATCTCGAGTTTACCTGATCCGAAAAAGCAGATAACCCGACCTTGAGGATTTTATTGACATACTTGGTGTTAAATCATATTATTGATTAATTTTTTATTTTACTTTTCTGATTTATTTTTTTATATATATATATATATATATATATATATATTTCTATTAGGTGTCTTATTTTTAGTACAATATTATTGTTATTTGTTTTCTTGTGTTAATAGGTTTCTACTAGGAAAAAGAGATTGGAAAAAAGATTCTGGCAAATCAATTAAGAAGAATAGAGGCAGAGAAATACGTGAGCTTTGGAAGGAAAAGAAAAACAATTGAGTGGGCTTCATATTTTCTCTTGAAAGAAGATAGCAGCACTTTTTGATTGGATATATTTTGGAGACTTTGAGCAATACATCTTCACATTATCTTGAGCGTGATATTTCTTTTTGTTTGGGCAAAATAAAGAAGCACCGGGGATTTTGGTCGGAGGCATACAAACTGAAAGGAGCAGCACCAGCTTTTTGAATTTGGCCTTGGAAGCATATTACAATGCCTGACAATTTGGCTTTGAATTTTTATCTTTTCTTTTGATCGTTCATGCACAACAAATTCAAGCATACCAAAGAAGAAAATGCAAAGTACACTATTGAAGAAAAATGCTAGCCACCAACCCTTCACCACCTTCCTCATTCACACACATTTTTTCAACAATCGTGTTCATGCTCATGCCTATAAATAGGCTTGTTATTTCATTCATTTCAAATCATCCTTGAGAGTGATCAATCAACCTAGAGA